AGTTATTCACAACAAGGAAAGCATTTTCATAATTAAGTTAGGTTGATCAATGTGATTCCTTGTGATGATAAATTGCCAACACAAAAAGGAAATAACTAAAGGATAAATAGAGTACTGAATCTCTTGTGGGTCAGAACTAGATCAAAGGCGAGTGCTGAATAAAGAGACTGTTCCGTAAACAATAGCAGTACTGCGTATTTCAAATAAATTGTAATTCCAAAGCTCACCTCCCAACAGTGCACAAAAAGTTGACAGACTTGTAACAAATGACCTGTTTCTGGTCTAAGCTCTCGAGCGCTGGCCAAGTAGTGTGTTAAATGCTCTTTTACTTCCTTGTCACTGAAAAAAAATAGTGATAAAAATGAGCAACGATAAAGAAAAGGGAAATCACGATCGTAGAAAGAGACTATGACCTGATATAGAATTCATAGTAGGAAAATAAAGAATTTGATTGATACAAATAGTGCTCTAAAGACAAAAGGTTTCGAACCCTGAGATTAAAAAAACGAAGGAGTGATTTTCGGCTGGTGCCGCACCATTATCTAAGGAATTTGTCAACCTTGGTCGGATGGCAGAGCATTGGTTTTTCTACCTTAAGCCCCACAAATAAAAAACGTATTGCCGCCATTAACAGCTGTACATACCCTGCTCTCAGGAGTTGTTGTAGCAGAAACGATCTAACTACAGGTGTTGCATCAATGCCATGTTCCGGAAAAGGAGAAAAATCCTTAGTCTTTGAACTGGCTTCTATCACATAACTCATGAACATTTTAAACAGTTCAGGATCCATAACACCTTCATCGTCCTTTGTGCCAAAACAGAACAATGAGACAAGCTCCATGAAGAAGGAGTTGCACCGACGACGGAAATCGAAGTGCTCTCGAACAGCTTTCCTGTAAATATAATTGCACACCCAACTCGGTCAATGAATGGTTCTTAAAATAAGGGAATAACATTATGCGAAGCGGTTATATCTATCTCCAAAGACTTTTATGTCATTACTACAGTGTATAGCAAATGATGATAAGTTTACAAAGAGGAAAGCGCAACTTTTCGTTTGATTCTCCATTATCAATCTCATCCAAAACGCCTTGTGCGAGGAACTTAGACTTATGCTCAAGTTCAAAATTCTTTACGAAACTGAAAACACTTAATGTATTTTTCATTAGTTCATTTTTTCGTTGATTGATGGGGAACTTTTCAATTGAGTGTTGAAAGTACTGTGGAATGGCCTGATTTCGCTTTACTGAGCTTTACAATGGATCTAGAAATTTGCCCCATTCTCCCAGTCAATCGGATGAAATGACGGATGGATCACGCCCTTGAACTGTAGGCGAAACAAATCTGCAGGCTAGCTGACTTGGGGGCGTATCGATCCGTAGGTAAGATGACTTGTGGGCAAAACTAACCTGTTATCGAGATGACTTCTAGCGCATCTGTGTTTTCTTCATTAATTCTTTAGAGCACTTGTTTTCTGATTGGCCGTTGTTTGATTGCTTTAGTTTTGGAACAATTAAATTTAACGCACTTTAAAACATAGGTAACCGTTATTTCCACACATAGTCCTATTATATAGGGCCTCTTGCACAAAATACAGGTATTTACGATGGCTCCCTGTGCGAGCTTGGGCTACCTGGGCTACAATAAATACATTATACCTTACAAGTTTGGTGGGTAAGATCTTGAAATCATCCGGTACGTCTCTCTTGCAGCACGGACATTTTCTCTCCCTTTCAATCCAGCTAGTGATGCAAGCAAGGCAAATTACGTGACCACAAGGCATTTTGACAGGATCCTTCTGAGCCAGACCATCCAGACACACAGGACAGGTGTTCACACCA